ACCCGAATTCCTTGGTCGTGTCGTCGCACGTGGAGTCATTTCGCGTATCATAGATACAGACCACGCGGCGACGCGCCATATTGGTGACCTCGTAGTTAGAGTACGCACGACTCGTTCGCGCATCACCACCGTACTTAACGTTTCGTCCGCCGCCCATCGAGTTCGTTCGTTCCGCGTACCAGCATGGCTGAAGGGAAAGTCGACGTTTCCGTCGAAGCACTAGCCGGCGTGCGTCTTCCAGCGTTCTGGAAGCAGTCGCCCGAATACTGGTTCATACACGCAGAGTCCATCTTCACGACCCATCGCGTGAACAATCTCAACACGCGCGTGCATTTCCTCGTCGGGGCTCTAGATGAGGACGGCGTGCGGACCGTCGGCGACCTCCTCGGCCCGAACGCATCGTACGATTCTTTACGCACCAGACTAATCAGTGCGTATGGACAACCTAAGTCTGTTCGTTTTCGCGAGCTGGTCAGACCCGGAGGCATGGGAGACCGTAGACCCTCGCAACTGCTACGTGATATGCGCAGTGTCATGCCGGACGGTTTCGGAGAGGACGCTTTAAAAGAATTCTGGTTGCAGAAGCTCCCAGCCAACATCGTGGCCATCATTTCCGGTTTCGAAGGCTCTTTGGACTCAATCGCCACCCGCGCGGACAGAGTAATGGAAGCTGCCAACTCACATAACATCGACGCCGTGGCCAAAGATCCGATAGCGGAGTTGACTAACGTAGTTTCGTCGCTCGCACAACAAGTGCAGTCAATGGCTAAGGTCGTTTTCGCGCCCCAGCAGAGTGATCGTCCATCGACGCAATGGACTGCTCAGCTAGCTACGGATTTGTGTTACTTCCATGAGCGATTCAGCAACAACGCCCGCAAGTGCCGTCCACCGTGTAACTTCAAATCGAAGTCCAAAGAACACACTACCCCGACGCCGGCGGAAAACTAAGCGTCACGGACAGGACACCCGCCCTGCATGCCGTGAATAATTCTACGCGGGTACATGTGAACGACCTCCGCTCGGGCAAGCTGTTCCTCATCGACACGGGCGCCGAGATTTAGGTCATGCCTTTAGACCGCAGCTCGCATCAGTCGTCGGATGTCCGCCTCACAGCTGCCAATGGAACACCCATCAAAACTTATGGGCCCAAGACTCTCAAACTCGATCTCGGTCTGTCACGAGTTTTCACATGGACGTTCGAAATGGCCGATGTTTCCCGCGCTATCATTGGAGCCGATTTCCTACATTACTTCGGTCTCCTCGTCGATGTCCGTCGACACTGTCTCGTCGATTCAACCGGCGATAGAACAGTCGCCTGTGCTGTGAATTCCGCGATGTCCGTAAACGCTCCGTTGTTCGCCGTCCCGCGTTCACGCGATTGGGAAGAATTACTACGGGAATTCCCGAAAGTGACCCGTGAGTCACCCGTCCCGGAAGTTTTTCTCCACGGAGTCGAACACGTGCTACAAACGACGGGCCCACCGTTGTTCGCCCGCCCACGACGGCTACCGCCGGATCGGCTCAGCGTCGCACGACGCGATTTTGACTCGATGTTGAGACAGGGTATTTGTCGCCCGTCTGCGAGTTCCTGGGCAAGTCCGCTTCTTTTAGTCCCGAAAAAGGACGGCTCGTACCGTCCCTGTGGTGATTACCGACGACTCAACAACGTCACCGTCCCGGACCGGTACCCGTTGCCTTTCCTTCACGACTTCACGGCGAATTTGGCTGGAAAGACCGTTTTCTCTAAACTCGACCTGGTCCGGGCCTATCACCAAGTGCCCGTCGCGGCCAACGATGTTCACAAGACCGCCGTCACGACACCATTCGGCCTGTACGAATTTCCGGTGATGTGTTTCGGGCTCCGCAACGCGGCGCAAACGTTCCAGAGGTTGGTCAACTCAATACTCGCGGGCCTGGACTTAGTTTTCGCATACGTCGACGACGTCCTGGTCGCGTCTGCAAATGAGGAACAGCACATCGAGCATGTTCGCTCCGTTCTCAGTCGTTTCGAGAAGTTCGGCATCGCGGTTAACCCAGCCAAGTGCGTTTTCGCCGCTCAATCACTCATGTTTCTCGGTCACGTCATCGACGCGCGAGGTTCGCGGCCGAATCCGGATAGCGTCAGCGCCATCCGTCAGTGGCCGCAGCCCAACACCAAGAAGGAGCTACAGCGCTTTCTCGGGGCACTTAACTTCTACCATCGATTCGTCCCGAAGGCCGCCAAAATTCAGGCACCCCTTTACCACATCATCGCCCAGGTACCGAACCGCGACGGCGCACTTACGTGGACCGACACAGCTCGCGATGCGTTCCGCGTCTGTCGAGAAGCCCTCGCCTCCACCGCACGGCTGGTGCACCCATGCCACGAAGCACCTTTGCGTCTCAGCACCGACGCGTCGAACGTCGCGGTCGGGGCGGTGCTAGAGCAGCTCGTCGACGGCAACTGGCAGCCTGTAAGTTTCTTTTAGCGTAAACTCACCGGCGCGCAATCGCGATACAGTGCATACGACCGGGAGCTCCTCGCAGCCTACCTCGCGGCCCGGCACTTCGTACACTCAATAGAGGGCAGGCCTACAACACTGAGGACTGATCACCGACCATTGCTTTTCATGTTTTCTCAAAAAATGGAGAAACTCATTGACCGGCAGGCGCGACACATCGCGTTCCTGTCGCAACTGTTTCACAACGTGGAACATATCAGCGGCGAAAGTAACGTGGTTCCGGACGCGCTTTCACGTCTCGAGCTGGCGACCCTCAATAAAGGTCTACCGGATCTCGACCAGTGGGCACTCGACCAGGCCAACGACACAGAACTCCAGAACATCATATCCGGTTGTACCAAAACTTCATTGACACTCGAAGCTCGTCAAACGAAAAACGGCCCTGTCTACTTCGACGTGGCTCCCGATCGTACGAGACTGCTCGTTCCGCGAAAACATCGTCGCGAGGTGTTCACGACTCTGCACGGACAAGCACACAGCGGCCAATCGGCCACCAGGCAGATCGTCAAAGCACGCTTCGTCTGGCCGGGTATGGATCGAGAAATCAGGAGTTGGACGCGTACGTGTGAACAGTGTCAAAGGGCCAAAATTCATAGGCACACCTCAGCTCCGCTCGCGCCTTTCGCGGCTCCAGAAAGACGGTTCGGGCACATTCACCTCGATCTGGTCGGCCCCCTCCCGACGTCCAACAATGCGAAGTACCTTCTTACCTGCATCGACCGGTTCACACGTTGGCCAGAGGCGTGGCCCGTGGACAGTATGTGTGCGCATACCGTTGCTTCGGTTCTCGTGTCGAACTGGATCGCTCGGTTCGGGGTGCCAGACATTATCACAACAGACCAAGGTCGACAGTTAGAGTCCGAACTAATGAAGACCCTCAATACCATGTTTGGCATTCAACACATACGATCGTCACCGTACCACCCTCAGGCGAACGGCATGGTGGAGCGGTTCCACCGGACGCTCAAGGCGGCTCTCACAGCCCACGAATCGCCACATTGGACTCAACATTTACCAATAGTCCTCCTCGCGCTTCGGAACACCGTCAAGCAAGACGTCGGCGCAGCTCCAGCCGATCTGGATTACGGGACATCTCTCCGGCTTCCGGGCGAACTTTTCCATGCGGCACCAACCAAAATGTCGGCCCACGACCTCGTCACTTCGCTGAGGGAATCAATGGCCAAGTTGCGCCCCACGCAAGGCTCCGATCATGACTCGAGCAGACGCATTTTCGTGCCAGCACGGCTCGATACCGTAAGTCACGTTTTCGTGAGTATTGACGCACATCATGTACCACTTCAACCTCGCTACGAGGGGCCCTATGCCGTTCTCGAGCGACGCCTCAAAAATTTCAAACTCCAACTTGGCAACCGAACCTCTTGGATTTCCGTGGACCGGCTGAAACCGGCTTTCGTTTTGCGAGACAACCCGCTCACCGACCACTCCTACGCCGTACAAGCAGTCAATCCAGGTACCAGCGACAAAGAGGCCCGATTTCTCTCCGCCGAGGGGGAGTAATGTGGCGGTTCACCACCACATAGCTGCCGCCAGGAGCGATAAGCGCGGCTGAGACGATTGGCAACACCTCCGTAGTCGACGCCGACGTGTCACCGCACCGGACGAACGACCGAGCTTCCCTCTCTCGCCCGACCGATCTCGTCGACGACACACGTCGTCTCCATATTGTTTTGTACATTACATAATATTCGTATAGCTAATAAATTAATTGTTGCCTTTTAAGCGTTCGTCTACCGTGTCGACTAATTTGTTAATCGTAACCCGAATTCCTTGGTCGTGTCGTCGCACGTGGAGTCATTTCGCGTATCATAGATACAGACCACGCGGCGACGCGCCATA